CTATTAACAAAACAACGCAAATAAACTTCTAATGACTGGTTAGCCCTCTCAGCTGTACCATTGGTCTATGGATGGTAGGAGGAGGAGAAGGAGAGATTAATACCCAATTGTTTACTGAACGCTCTCCAGAACCAGGACACAAACTGAGAGGCCCTATCAGCAGGGCCGGACTGGGAAAAAAATTAGGCCTGGACATTTTTCAATCAGAACGGCCCCCTAAGAAGGGGGCGGGGCCAGATAGGGTGTGTTTTGTCATCGCTAATGACAAGCACGCCCGCTCTCAAAGTGAGCATGTTGGTTCAATGCGCAGAGCCCCGCTGAAGAACTCTGGCATTAGAGAAAGGCCCTGTATTTGTTCTGCGCAGCGCAAGCAAATTTATTAACATGCTTGCGCTGTGTTTGCTTCCAAATTGTCTCCACAAGTGTTGTGTGGTATTTTGTAAATAGGTCAATTTCATTTGTGTTTGTGGTGTAATATGTGTGGCTAGGGGCTGTAGAGAGTGTGTGTATAGGGGGCCCAGTGTTATAGGGTATGTAGCGAGTGGGTGTAAACGAGCTGTAGTGTGTGTGTATAGGTGATGTAGTGTGTGTAGGGGTTGTAGAGAGGGTGTGTTTAGAGAATGTTGTATGTGTTTGCTAACAAGGAATGTAGTGTGTGTGTAGGTGGTGCAGTATGTGTGTGTGTGTGTAGGAGATCTAGTGTGTAAAGGACCCTGAGATTGTGTGTGTGTGTGTGTGTGTGTGTGTATAGAGGATTAAGAGTGCATATAGGGTAAGGGATCTAGCGTGTATCTGGAGCGTAATGTGTGTAGTGGTGCAGTCAGTGGCGTACATAGTTGAATGAATGTGCTGATTGGCACCGGCCTGGCTCACTAGGGGCCCGGCCGCCTGGGCACCGGTATGTACCCACAGGGCCAGCCTCTTTCCTGGGGCCCAGACGACCACCCCAGGGCCCCCGAGGCTGGATTCCGCTGATTTCGGGAAGGGAAGCCGGTAGAAGGAGACTGGTGCCTTTTCAGTTTCTCGCTATCGGGCATGATGCTGACCGGGAGCCGGAAGATGACGCCATCTTCCGCTGCCCGCATCCCTGGCGCGGCGCCATGTAGGAGCTGCTGAAGAGGAAGCACTGAGTGCTCCCTCGCGCGCCCGACCGCCTGCCCGACCGGCCACCCGCCCAGGAGCCCAGCAGCACCACTGGACCCCAGGGAATCCCCCCAGCACTCGAAAAGGTAAGAAGGCTGGGGGGATTACATTTAAAAAAAAAAATGTGTGAGTGTTAGAGTGAGTGTTAGTGTGAGAGTGTTAGAGTCAGAGTGAGTGTTAGTGTGTGTGTTAGTGTGTCTGCTAGTGAGTGTTAGTGTGTTAGTGTGTGTGTCTGCTAGTGAGTGTCAGTGAGTGTGTTACTGTGTGTGTCTTACTGAGTGTGTGTGTTAGTGAGTCTGTTTGATGTCTGTTAGTGAGTGTGTGTTTGTCAATGAGAGTGTATGTTTTGTAAGTGAGTGAGTATGTATGTCTGTCGCTGACTGTGTCTCTGTCAGTAAATGTGTGTGTCTGTTAGCTATTGTGTATGCGTCTGTAAGTGTGTGTGTGTGTCTTCAGCACTTACCTTCTCCAGCGCCGACTCCCTTGGCGCTGAGGATCCCCAGCCTCTCGTAGCCCGAATGCACCGCGCCATCATTGATTAAACCGGCCTATAGGAAAGCACACTCAATGCTTTCCCCATGGACGTTCAGTAAGCCCTCTAGCGGCTGTCAGTGAGACAGCCACTAGAGCTGGATTAACCTCAGTGAAACATAGCAGCTTCTCTGAAACCGCTATGTTTTCAGCTGCAGGGTTAAAACTAGGACCTGACACCCAGGACAACTTCATTGGAGCTGATGTGATCTGGTAATTGTAGTGGAAGTCCTTAACCCTTACGACACATGACATGTGCGGACATGTCATACTCCCCTTTATTCCAGAAGTTTGTCCTTAAGGGGTTAGCGATTCATTTCATAGTGCCAGGGCATACTCGTTTTCCTGGCACTATAGTGCCCCTGAGTGCCCCCACCCCCAGGGACCCTCCCCGCCTCGCTCTGGAAAGGGGCAAACTTACCTTTTCCAGCCTGGGCTACGAGAGCCTCCTCCTGACATTTCTCGGCCGGAAGCCGTACGCGCATCATGCGGCATGCCGCACATTCAGCCGGTCACATAGGAAAGCATTCATAATGCTTTCACGCACGGCAAGAGCTGCGCGCGCATTCAGCCGGTCACATAGGAAAGCATTCATAATGCTTTCCTATGGACGCTGGCGTGCTCTCACTGTGAAAATCACAATGAGAAGCACGCAAGCGCCTCTAGCGGCTGTCAATGGGACAGCCACTAGAGGAAATAGAGGAAGGCTTAACCCATTCATCAACACAGCAGTTTCTCTGAAACTATGTTTATGAAAAAATGGGTTAACCCTAGCTGGACCTGGCACCCAGACCACTTCATTAAGCTGAAGTGGCCTGGGTGCCTAGAGTGGTCCTTTAAGTGTGTGTGCATCTGCATGCACTGGCATACATACCGCGGTCGCAGGGGTCGCAGCCCTGTAACCCCTGCGACCAGGTGCCCACCGCCATGTGTTGCGGCCCGGCCCGCGCGCGGGGGGGGGCCCACGGATCAATTTTCGCACCGGGGCCCCATGGGTCATGTGTACGCCACTGGGTGCAGTGTGAGGGGTGCTGTAGTGTGTGTGTCTGTGTGTGTGTGTGTATATATATATATATATATATATAATGGAAAGTAAAGGGAGCACACTAGGACTACTTCTGAGTGGAAAAAAAGTAGTATTTACTGTATTATAGAATAATACATATCCTGTGCAGAGTACAGAAAATCGACGTTTCGACCCTCCTGGGGTCTTTATCAAGATCACAGTGAAACATTAATGTCTACAACAATATATACATATACGTGAAATAAAGCTTACCAATGAGATGATCAGACAGCCGGCGGACTGAAGAACCCGGAAGTGAGAAAGCCACGTGGGAGCGTGCATGTGACATGCGTGAGCGTGCATGTGACCGGGTTGCTAGGCAACCTTAGAAACAATGTATCAATTCCATTCACACATAGAAACAGAAAAGAGATGCATGCTAGTTATGGAGGAAATATTAACTATGATCACCAGGATAAAATCGATCTGATAGTGAGCTAAATGTGGTTGGAGTGAACCAAAAAAATCTATCAGTGTAAAAAAATGTGAACAAAAATGTAGCAAATCCGAACCAGATCGATAAATCTCTAAGGTGTAATACAACAGACTTTAAAACAAAGCTGTATATCTTATAATGTTATCTATCCAATAGTTGTATAAAACACTATTGGAGAATAGAAAGGTATTATATAAATATATATTATAATCCTTGTAATTAAAGGAGAAGCATCATACCTAATATTATCAGTTAGCTGCTATTGACCAATATAGACAGAGGCCACTCTGCCGTAGTTATAAAATTAATCTTCATTGCTAGACACAATACCCAAGTGTCTTAACCAAACTTTACATATTAACTATAGAATTAGCCTGGTGTGAGCTCAGACCTATATTTAGTGGTCAAAAATCGTGTATAGTGCTTTCCAGAAACAGACCAAAAGATAGAAAATAGAAAATAGAAACTGCCTATTCAGATTGTTATGGCACAGGATATACTGCACTATAAATGACGAAATGGCATTAATAATGAATCAATTCTATATAAAGGAGAAAAGTTTGAATCACACAAATATATCAAGGAGATATTTAAAGAGATATTTTTAAAGAAACATCGAAAGAACCAAGTGTTCATTAAGTCCTTTTGGGGTCACTGTATCTAGATGGTGGATCCTGTGATCTCCCCTGCTGGCCTCGGCCCACGGCCATCGCGGCCCACCGGGCATTTGCCCGGTATGCCCGATGGCCAGTCCGGGCCTGCCTATCAGGCACAAAATTGTGAGGGATGCCATGCAAACGGACAATTTCACGTTTGAAAATTAGGACAAATTCTTGTGAAGATGGCAACTTCTTGAGAGGAATGAAGTGTGCCATCTTAGAAAATCGGTCTACAACCATGAGAATAGTAGTGAACCCAGCAGAGCTAGGAAGCTCAACAATAAAGTCCATGGACAAGTGGGACCATGGAATCTCAGGAACAGGAAGAGGCTGCAACAGGCCACAAGGAAGTGCATGAGTCACCTTAGAAACTGCACACACAGAACATGCCTGCACATACTCTTTTACATCTTTCCTGAGTGAATCCCACCAAAATGATCTATTGATCGCGGCAGTGGACTTATTGATGCCCGGGTGTCCAGCAGTTACATTGTCATGGAACACTTTCATGATATTAACCCTTTCATATAGGGGAACGAACAGTTTATCACACGGTTTACCACTGGGCGCCTGAGGCTGGGCCTCCAGTATGGTGCCAAGCAGTGGAGAAGACAGTGAGAGGACAGTAGTAGCAATAACACACTCTGGGGGAATAATAGGAGATGTCAGCCTTGGTATTTTTAGAACCAGGTCTATAAGTAATGAGGAAGTTAAAACGTGAAAGGAACAGTGACCATCTAGCCTGTCTGGAAGACAAAAGTTTGGCATCCCCTATATAGGCCAAGTTTTTGTGGTCGGTTATGATCAACAGGGGGTCCTTGGAAAAGATGTCACCATTACTTGAGGGCAAGAATAATGGCCAGCAGTTCTCTATTGCCAATATCGTAGTTGCGCTCAGCAGGAGACAGCTTTCTGGAGAAGTAGCCACAAGGATGCAATGGTGTTCCCTGACTTTCTCTCTAAGAGAGAACAGCCCCTACCCCTGTCTCGGATGCATCAACCTCCAATATAAAAGGTTTACTGGTGTCGGGATGTTTTAGTATGTCCGAAGAGGAAAATCTTTGTTTAAGAGTCTCAAAAGCATTCACAGGCTCTTTGGACCATACCATGCTACTAACGCCTTTCCGAGTCATATTAGTGATGGGGGCTATTACAGAAGAAAATCCCTTGATGAATCTTCTGTAATAGTTGGCAAAACCAATAAACCTTTGAATGGCTTTTAAACCAGAGGGTAATGGCCAGTGTAGTACAGCCTCTAGTTTTTTAGGATCCATTTGAAACCCAGATGCAGAGATGTTGTAACCCAAAAAGTGGACTTCAGGCTGGTCAAAAATGCACTTTTCTAATTTACAATAAAGTTTATTTTTCAACAACGTCTGCAGAACCTGTTTCACATGGGAGTGGTGAGTTTGAAGATCAGGAGAATACACCAAAATATCGTCCAAATAAACCAAGACAAATGAGTAAATTAATTCCCTGAGTACATCATTTATAAAGTCTTGGAATACGGCCGGGGCGTTTGCATAACCCAAATGGCATTACCAGATACTCATAGTGTCCACTACGGGTATTAAATGCCGTCTTCCACTCATGATTCTCTTTAATTCTAACCAAATTGTAAGCGCTCCTAAGGTTGAGCTTAGTAAATACTTTAGCCCCCTGTAGTCTATCGAACAATTCAGAAATGAGTGGGATAGGGTATGCATTTTTTACAGTGATTTTATTAAGTGTCCTGTAGTCTATGCAAGGGTGTAACTCACCACCCTTTTTCGAAACAAAAAAGAATCCTGCACCAGCTGGTGAGGATGACTTTCTTATGTGCCCTTTGCTCAAAGATTCTTTGATGTATTCCTCCATTATTTTACTCTCCTGGGGAAATAAAGCATAAACTGCCCCCTTAGGAGGCATAGCGCCTGGAAACAGGTTAGTGGCACAGTCATATGCTATGTGGGGAGGCAATACATCGGATTGAGCCTTGTTAAACACCTCCTGAAGTTCTCGGTATTGTATGGGAACTCCAGGAGTTTGGGAAGTGGTAGTGGGAAGGTCAATAGTACCCAATCTCTTTAGTACTGGTTTTATACATCTCCCCATACACTTCTTACCCCATTCCAATATTTCCCCATTAGCCCAGTCAATATAGGGATTGTGCTTACTCAGCCACGGAAACCCTAATATGATAGGACATGATGGAGAAGTAATAATCTGAAACATCATCTCCTCCCTATGGGAGGCCCCAATAGATACCGTAATAGGGACAATCTTGTGGGTTATAAGCGGTTGCGTGAGTGGTCTACCATCAATAGCCTCTACAGCTAGCGGCGTAGGTCTCTCCCTGACTGGTATCTCATTACCCCTAATAAAATTTCCAGCAGTCCATTAGGGCACTGCAAGAAAACTTCTTGTTATCAAGGGAAATAGATACTTCAAGGAGGAATCTACTTTTATTTTTGTTAGAGGACAACTCCATCACACCCAAGACCTGTCCCCTTAAGGTTCTTAGGTGCGGACGTTTTCCGGACGCACTGGGCAATCAGTTATATATGTCCCTTTCTACCGCAATATAGGCATAACCCCTCCTTTCTCCTATACTGTCTTTCGGCCTTCGACAGTCTAGTGACCCCCAACTGCATAGGTTCGGGCTCGGACTGTACAGGGAGGTTAGACAAAACAGGTTTAGAGAATCGGGGTGCTATGGACATAGTCTGGTCTTGCTTCTGGTGACTTCTCTGAGTCTTAACCTATTATCAATATGCATGACAAACATAATAAATTAGTTAAGACTCTTTGGTAATTCTTTAGCGGCCATCTCATCTAGTATAGTCTCAGAGAGACCCTTTTTGGAATTCAATAGCATAATCCGAGATAGACTGGTTACCTTGTCTCATGTGCATTAGGGCAGTGGAGGCGTCATCTTCTCTACTCAATGGCTCAAACGTGAGCTTAAATTCAGTAAGGAATTCCTGGTAATTATGAGCAATGCTCCGATTACTCTCCCATAACGGATTAGCCTAGGCAAGGGCCTTGCCCTTTAATTGATTCATTAGATAACCAATTTTTGCTCTGTCCATGGGGAACAACCCTGGTGAGGCCTCAAAATGGTACTCCACCTGATTAAGAAATCCCCTGCATTCCTGGATATTGCCATCAAAATGTAGGGATGGCGATAAGGAGATGCTGGGAGTTCTATTAACAGTGGGTGGAGGTACACAGGTTTGAGGTGCTATAGGAGGAGACGCTGCAGGCTGCAGATGCGCCATTCTAGCGAGAAGCGTACTGAAAGCCTGAGCGAATTGATCCATGTGGTGATCATTCTCCTCTAATTTCCTTTAGCAAGCAGCTATGTGCTGATATAGTTCTACAGGATCTATGGTCATGTCTTAATATCAGGATTACTGTATGATCCAGCACGTAGAACTGTTTAGCCTGAATGACAAATAAGTAACATATTACCGGTCCTTAGATTGGCCGGATTTAACGTACATAGGATAGTCAAAATACTAGCCTAGGTCAGGGAACACAGAAAGGGACGCAACGATGAGGAAAGCCAGGAGTCAGGATACCACAATACAGAGAAGTCAATAAGCAAAGCCAAAGTCAAAAACCAGTAGAAAACTATAAACAGGAACGTGCCCTTGGACAACCACATGTGCGTGCGCGCTGGGTTATTTCTGCCCGTGGGTGTGCAACGGCCGGTGCCAGACTGTATGCGGAGACAGTCAGGACTGCAAGCTTCCGGCCACTGAGCACCAGGTGAAGGAAAAGTGTCAGATGGATATGTGGCACCCGGGTCCTCTCCTGCCGCCCTCCATGCTGCAGTGGGGAGGGAGGCTGAGAGCAGAGCCGGCGCTCGGATAGTGCTGGCTCTGCATGAGCCAACGGGGGGATCCTGAGATCTCCCCTGCCGGTCTCACTCCATAGGCGTGCCGCGGGGATTAGGCACACTCGGCACACCCGGCACACCCCGTGCGCACGCCTATGGTGTAGATAGGGGCTGGGAGTGGGGGGACGGGTGAGTGTGCCTGTATGTGTTGAATGTTATGGTTAAAATATGTGTGTGTCAGTGAGTGTGTGAGTAAGTTTTTAATTTGTGTCCCCTCCTGCTTACTTTTAGGCATGAGGAGTAATCTGGAGGTCCAGTAGAGGGTGATCTGGATCCATGGAGGCCTACTGGAATGTGAGCTGGGTTCCTGGTGATCCAGAGGAGGAGCATTGTGGTATGTACCAACATTGGGTGCAGATTACTTTAAGAGCTCGCTCACTGCTCTGACACTTAGTCAATGACTCAGAGTCATTGAAGCTCTGGACTGAGTAATTGAGAAATGCTGGGGGACCACGAGGGAGCACTTAAAGTTATGTACACCCAATATTAATACAGATTTAAATGCTCTCTCAACAAAGTGAAGGGGCCCAAGGTCGAGTAGAGAGATCTTTTGATTTCCTTGCCAGCTCAAGGAGGGCCCCCTCACAGCCAGAGCTGAAGCCCCATGTCCAGAAAGGACACTAATACACTAATATCTTGATTTGTGTAATCTGTAGGTTTAAGTAGCACAATGTCACCCAAATATCTATTATGAGACAGTAGAAAATAAAAAGATGAGTGCATAGTCAACTTACAGAAAACACAGAAATCCAGCTGTGTCCATTCATTTCCTACAAGAAATATAGCTGGAGAAAAGAAAAAGTTTAAAAAAGAATCCTGCACACTTAAACAGACAGAGAAAGCATTAAAGAGCCAGTGCTTGAGAAGCAGGTTCTAAAAGAATAATCTCAGAGATATGACTTGTAATGAACAAGAGCATTAACACAGATGCTAAAGGAGCTTGGTATTAGCAGGAGCTGATGCCCTTCTAGGATGGCTTCAGTTGAAAGTCATTGCTTTAGGTCAAAGCTTACAATATTACCAAGAGGCTTCCATAACAAGCAAAATATATCAAACTGCAGACATATTTATTATTATTATTTTTTATTTTTTATTTTTTTTTGCCTGAAAAAACTGAAATTTAAACCATTGTCCTTGGATATAGTAACTAAATATCTGCTCTCGTTTTTGGTGAACAGTTTCACTCAATTAATTAGGAACTAGCAAGATAAGAACACAACATTCTAGCTGCCAAAAATAGCCGCACTAAGACATATTATTAGTCTTGTTATATCTTCACTTCTCTGCCCTTGTATATTTACATCCCGTTTTAAATCCATCAAAGTCATTCATCATATACCAGCTCAGAAACTGCTCAGGGCTGAAGCTCCAAGAAACTGAACAAGAGTAAGCCATGACCCGAGCACCCATCCACTCATTCCCTCAATCTCTAGGGAAACAAATCAAGTGTATTTAAAGATATTCCTGAAATGTTCTAAATAGTATTTTAATGTTGTCAAATGTTAGCTTTTCTTATTATGTTATAACATTTCCCATTATATAAATAAATGAAGTAGAAAAATGCAAATTGAAAAAAATAAAATAATTTATGGATAGAAGTGTAAAGAAATATTCATGGTATCATAATAACTTCACTGGAATTAAGTTGTTATGGTGCAAGGAGGTGCCTGTCACCAGCTTACCTCTTATCTCTTAAGTGTTCCACTTCTCAGAATTTCTTCAAACAAGAAGCCTTGTACTGCATGGAGTACTGCTGATTGGCTGAGAACATCAGCTGGTGTACTAAGCCAATAAGTAACTACACTTTCATTAAAACAGCTTTAAAAAAAATGCATACTTTCTCAAGCCAGTTTGTGAATGGGAACCTATTGATTGCCTGACAGGGTCAGCTGCAGTCCGAGGCTTTCTGTTTAAAGAATCTCAAAGAAACAGAGGACAGGGGTAAAGCTAAACAGCACTGGAGAGAATCACTCATGAATGGTTAAACCCCAAAATGTAAGTTGGCACCAAGTACCTTCTAGCAACATAACATCACAATTCCGATGAAATTGTTATGATGCTTGGAGGTTCCCTTAAACCGTCTAAAAGTAGCAAACTACTCAAAGGTACTCAAGGTTCCCTGAGCATGTCCCTTAGCAATTATTGGGCTTTAACATGCTTTGATCCACTCACTTTATGTATGAAAAATAATTGGTTGATACATAATTAATCCCACTGGCAGACCTTAAATCTAAAATTTGTTCCACAACAAGAGAACATAGTCTTAAATTAGAGGGGCAAAGGTTTACAAATTATTTCAAGAAGTATTACTTTACAGAGATGGTAGTGGTCGCATGGAATAGCCTTTCAGCTGTAGTGGTAGCGGTTAACACAGTGAGGGAGTTTAAGCATGAGTGGGATAGGCACAAGGCTCTCCTATCTATAAGATAAGGCCAGGGACTAATGACAGTATTTAGAAAATTGGGCAGACTAGATGGGCCAAGTGGTTCTGATCTACCGTAACATTCTATGTTTCTATGTTTCTTATTCATATGTCT